TCACTGTAGACAATGTGCCACAGTTGTGGTGAGTCATCGGTACTATGGTCAGAGGATACAATCTAGATCTTCTAACCAAATCGATTTGATTATTGTTTGTTAAAGGCTATAAAGAAGCTGCATTGGCCTTCTCATCAACCCTGAAGGGATTTTTCTAATCCTAAAATAAAATTTGTGATTTCAAATACTAAAATAAATAAATTGATTAACCAACATGATAGACAAATAATATAATTTGAAACTATAGAAACCCATTTAGTTAAAGAAACAACAAACTATATTCAATAGACAATTTGTATCCTCTGACCATCTCTCTCTCAATAGATAGAGAGAACAACAAACTCATGGTAAATAAACTACAACTAGTCTATCAGACACCTTACCAAGGATATAACAAAATAAAAGAGCAATCAGTAAAAGAAGCTAGAGAATCTCATTCAATCATAATTGGGACACAAAGTTTAACTATATTCAATCATAATTGGGACACAAAGTTTAACTATATTCAATCATAATTGGGATGCAAAGTTTAACTAACAAGGTAAGCAATAAAATCATTTTCATATAAATTTTCATAGATAATTATGAAAATTTGTCATGATAAAGAAATCGTAGATTTGCTGCAGAAATGTTATTGATATAATATCAAGCATCCTGGTTACACGAGCATGATTATTACTTAATAATAATTGAATAAATAATAAATTTCAAAGTAGAGTAATTTCATGCTTATTTTTATCTCATAATCAAAGTCATATCAACCCAAAACAGTTTAGAGCATTTGTTTCAACAATACCAACACCAAAATCCCATTTCAAAACAAGCTAAAAAACAATAGATATCTCTCTCTCTCTCTCTCTCTTGCTCTCTGGCACATAGAATCATAAACTGAGAGCATCTTGAAACACTTAGGATTTTACCAAAAACAAATTAGGGATTTTGCTCTCGTATATATCAAAATAGAAGAACGATTGCAATTCCTAAATAGACAATGAACAAGAAAAATAAATAAATTCCCTAAATAGAACTTTTTGATAGATAACAAACAAGTAATAAAAGAGCATATATTAAAAAGAACCCCAATTTCACTGTTTTTCCTTATTTGAAATCATCAAATTGACTAAAATTTCGTCCAGTACAGTATTTGTCATCTCATTATGAAACTTTTCAAGGTTTCTGGAGACTCTAGAGAGTAGATACTTGTACATAACACTATTGCGGCTATTGTTGGCCATATTTCTTTAGATATCAATAATTTTCTAAAACAAAGTAATAATAAAAAAGAATCAATCATGAAGATTCATGTCAATTTACTACTTCATGTGAACACTGAATAGAAAGAGAGCACAAATCCCATAAGAAACCATAAAAGGGAGAGAAATAAGCCTACAATTGGCAATATATGATGTATTTATCTTAAATTGGTTGAAATGCTACAAAGTACTAAAAAAAATAAAATTAGGTAATGATTTTTTACCTCAAATATCTGATGAGGTGATGGAAATGAGGGAGAGAGAGACTCCGTTAGAGATTTAGTGCCTGAAATCTTGAGGTGTAGAAGAAGAATGGAACCCTAAAATGGTAGAAACAAAATCGTAAAGGAGAAAATGGTTTCGGGTTAGGATTTATAAAGGCCGGTAGTATTATGGTATTTCGAGTGCCATAATGCAAATTCAACTTTTTATTGTAATAAAAGTACCGTATAATATGCTTAGATTTTACGGTACTTAAAGTATCGTAATAAATTCAAGTTATTATGGTATTTAAAATACCATATAAAATGTGATATGCATTACGATAATATGACTACAGTGAATATTATTTTGGTAAAAAAAATCAAAAAATGAAAAAAAAATGTGTAGGCAATATTTACGAAAGTTGGGTTTTTTTTTTTTTTTTTTCAATTAAACTAAAATTAAAGTATATTTCAAATAATTTATTTATTATTTTAATAGGGTATTTTGGGTAGCATTTTACTTTTTCTCCACGTTAGTTTCGTGTGGAAGGGAGTTTTGAAGGGGTCCTCTTGGTTCTTGTGGCTGCAAAGTGTTGAGCTACACGTTGTGAACGTGCGTTATAAAAATGATAAAATAATATTTCAAGCAAATTTATTTAAGGGTTTATTATATCATATTAAACGAGAGAAAGGGCGCACGAGTTGGTGCTCCCACTTGAGCGTACTGTTCACTTACTCGTCAAGTGAAAAAATTATTTAAGAAAGGGTACGGTTAAGGTTTCAACCTTAAATAATTCAAATAAGGTGCACCTTAAAATTTTATCATAACATTTAATTTTGTTGTAAATTTTTGTTAGTTTTATCCCCGTGTTCGTAAAATCGAACCAGAACGGTCAACTGGACATGGACCTGAAAGCAGTTTAGCTGGTCTAACCGATAAACCGGCCGATTCAACAGCTCTAATCGGGTAAGTCCCGAGCGGTAAAAAAGTGTTACAAAAAAATAAAAAAATAAAAAAATAAAAAAATACAAAAATACAAAAATACAAAAAGATTTACTAAAATATGAAAAACATTTTAACCAAGTTTATATTTTCCAAGGGCTATTTTTATTTTTATTTTTAAAAATGAAAAAATATAAAAGTGAGTATTAATGACCAAAACAATTTTGAATCTTTACCATAATGTAAAGAAAAATTTAAAATATATTACAAATCAAATTCTTTATATTTGAGAATTTAGAAATATTTTTTTGCTTTTTTTTTTTAAATACTGGTTGATCACCCTAACCGTCCATAATAGACATCGAGTATTGGCCAGTTCCGATCTAACCAGGCGGTTAGCGGTTAGATCGGGCGATTTTGGGATAAATGGTATTATCTTAAAATCTATTTTCATTCCTAATTAAAAAAATTTAAATTAAAAAAATGGTTAAAATTAAGTAGATCTATAAATATATGAAAATTTTGAAAATGGACGGTCTAGATAATGTGTTGCAAGATGCACTATTTTCGGGACTCAAATTTTTTTTTTTTTTATATTCGTACATCTCGATGTGATTGATTAGAGTGTTTTTTCAACATTAAAACAACATTTCCATAGATTTTTTAGGTATATATACAATTCTACATTTTTAAGGTTGCAACCTTATGTAAAATTTTTAAGGTTACATTTTTAAGGTTGTGAAATCTGAATAGCTTAGAGATTACACTTCCAAAATTTGAGATCTAAACAGTGTTTTTGCTCGAGGAAGTAAATGGATAGCATACTTCCAAAGGAGTAGGAAATATTCTGGGTCAAAAGGGGCACATATGGCATACTGTTTAGAAAGATTACTTAGGGACATTATGGACCTATAATACTTGAATCCATTTAAGAGTCGTCAAATAATTCTTTATATAAGGGTCCCGCCTTAAAAGCAAGGAAAAAGTTTTTATAAGGACGAGGGCCTAAACAATCAAAGTAAAGCGCACTTTTAAAAATTTATTAGGAAAGGTTTTTTCGATCCAAAAATTCTAAATCGATCATCTCGACTTCAATATGTATGGACATGAGAAAAAATAAATTTCAAGTATCGAAAATAGTGCACCTTGTAATATATTTTTTTGAAAATCAATTTTTAAGGGCTAATAGATGTACTCGATTTTTTTGTCGAAATAAATATACTTAGATCTACACTATTTTTAAGCTCTAAATTTTATAATTGGTGATGAAAATAAAATTTCAAGTCATCACAAAAATTTTCAATACTATTTAAAGATGCACTTTACTGGAATCGTTTTGGGCCTCGGCCCTATACAAACCACATCTTACAAAACCTCAAGAAATAATTGAGTTTCAATGCGAACTCCTATGACAATTCCGAAATCTATATCTCCTCTGATTATGGAATATACAATTCCGAAATCTATATCCACCTCTTATTATGGAATATAATTTGATGTTTTTAAAATGGTAAAAATCTTTTGGATATGCAACCATTAGAAGACAGCCTACATAATGCATTAAATGACACAATGTTTTTAAGACTTTAAAATAATTTTTTTTATCGCATGATTATAATCAACATGGAACGCATTAATTAAGAGATTTTTCAACACTAAAACCACAAATTTCTACGATATTCCGTTTTAATTTTGTTTTCCTCTTATTCTGACATTTCCCAATAAAATTTGTTCAAAATAGACAACGCTAACCATCAAATCATTTAATTTAATCCTCAAATTATTGGTAACTTCCAAGAAGAGGGAGGAGAGAGAGAGATATTTTGTCTCAAATTATTGGTAATTTCCGAGAAGAGGGAGGAGAGAGAGAGAGTTTGTCTCAAATTATTGGTAATTTCCGAGAAGAGGGAGGAGAGAGAGAGAGATTTTGTCTCAAATTATTGGTAACTCCCGAGAAGAGGGAGGAGAGAGAAAGAGAGATTTTGTCTCAAATTATTGGTAACTTCCGAGAAGAGGGAGTAGAGAGAGAGAGAGAGTAACGGAGTCTACCTTTTAGAGAGAAAAAGAGAGCAACATGATCTACCTTTTAGAGAAAGAGAGCAACTTGGTCATGGAGAGCAGCTCTCAGCCGCCTCTCTCTCTCTCTCTCTCTCTACCTAATTCTACTCCCATAGACCCTCCAATCAATCCAAGTCATTGTTAGAATAATCGGAAGATTTAATTGGCAATTATTTGGTTAGATCGGAACCTATCAGTTTTTATGTGTTTTGTTTAGTTTTTAAAATATATTTTTATACTTTTTTAGCTTTTTTTTCTTACAATATTTTTTTAACCTTTCCGGTTTTTATTCGGTTAGAAAGATTGAATCGTCTAATTTACCGGTTAAATCAGATAGCTTCCGAGCCCATATCCAAATATCCGATCCGGTTCCCAACACCTATCGAAGGACATTTTCGATATTTAATTAAAAAAGGAGCGTCAATCTTCGAACCTCTGCCAAGCATACCATCGATAATATCTTCAATAGCAGGGCCGATCTCATTTTGTCTCTCCTCCCGCGATCGGTCTCATGATTCATTACTGACCAGACGTCAACAACTCATCATAAATGAGGGCCCTTTCGATATATTCAAGAATAACAGTGGCTTTTTTCTCATTGGAATGGATACCTATAGATTCACGTCTCGGGGTTTCAGTTCCTGGGCAACAATAAATCTTCAGTTCCGCGGTTCAGCGCAGAGCCTGCCCCAGACAAACTTCATTGGACGGTTTTGCCCCTCCCCCAAAACCTCCTCTCTCTGCTCCTGCTAAAAAAAACCAGGTAATGAGAATTAAACTTCCATTTTTATCCTCTTTTTTTAGAATTTAAATCTGTGCTCTTACAAAAATGGATTATTTAAGTTTCAGGAGTCTCAATTTATTTAAATATTACTGAATATTTACTCTGCAACTTCCATTTCTTTGTAACTTTTTGTTTCTGGTTTATGAAACTCCGATTAAAATTTTGATTGTATTTTTATTATGAGAGAAATCTTGAAACTTCCGCCGATTTGATTATTTGTTTAATTTCTTTTCGATTTCCAGTGATTTATGAAAGCCCAGCCATAGTTAGAAGGGTTTATCAGATTTCTGTTTTTTCTGATAAATTCTGATGATTTATTCACTCTGACTATGCTTTATGTTTTTCTGAGATCTAAATATAATTATTATCTTTGTTTTTCATTTGAGAATAGTGCTTCAATCCTGCATTTCTCGGATGTTTTCTTGATTCAGTTACTTTACGCGATTTATTGAATGTCGATTATTTTAAGAAATGAGACTTGTAATTTTCATTTTTTTTTTTTATGAAGTAGGCGACAGAATGAGATAATTTCTTACGATAATTTACTTATCTAAAATTTAAAATGTATTTGTATATGTTGATTTGGAAACATTATAATCAAAGTTTTTTTTTGTATTTCCATTATTTTTTGCTTGAAAAATATGCCTGAAAGGAGAGGATGTACTTTGCTCTCACGGGAGCAAACTGTGCACTCTCACAAAAAATAATATCAGTTTTTTTTTAACAATATGTGATCGGCTACATGAATCCTTATTTATTATTCCATATTTTTAATGACGCTGTAAATCTTTTTTAACTATTTGGGATCCGCTGCATGAATCTTGATTTATAATTCAATACCTCCAATGGAGCTCTAAGTCCTCCTATCTTTTTCTCATTGCTGGTAAATATTTTTATGATGTGATAATTAGGGAACTAACTAAAAGCACTATATTTAACCAAAAAAATTTGAATTTAGAGTTTTATGACACTTTGATCTCATCCTTCTTGTTTCTTTCAATTTAAGAGGTTCCATTTTGGATTCATAAAAAGGTTCCCCCGGAGGGAGTAATGGGCATCATGCTTCCTCATGAGTACGATTTCATTTGGCCGATCAATTCCAGGATGTTTGTTATAGAATTTATTTCATTTCTCAAATATTAAGCAAATTTCAATATTTATTTATTAAAATTCCATTTTTCTACAAATAAATAAAGTTGTACTGGACCTAGAACTTTTGAAGGGTTAGCATTTTGTCCCCCAAGAATATTTATTTTTATACCTTGATTTATTTTTGGTACAAAAAATCTCTGTTTTTTTTTTAAAAAACTTTGATTATTTTTGTACTTTTGGATGGAAAAAGGACTGCACTCAAAAGAAAAATAACATGCCGTTTTTTATTTTACCTTTTTGTTTGTTGGTTTTATCATCTTTTTCCTTACGACACGGTTTGCACGAGTGTACGTTGAAATGAGTCACGTCTTAAACATCTATTTTTAAGATGGATTCTTGGATTTAATTTTTAAGAACATGTAATCTCTAATATAGAGATCGAGATCATGGAGATGAAAAATAAATAAATTTTAAAAATAAAAAATAATAATTTTATCAAAAAAACATTTGTACTCCAAATAGTACAAATTTGATTGTTTTTAAGTGGACCACCTTTACCCATACTCATACCCTTTCATTTAGGAAAAAGTTTATGCAGAGCCGTGGCTTTAAACAATCAAATTAGAGCCTATTTAAAAATTTTATTAAAAAAAATTGTTTTGATGTCCAAATATTTTCAAATGGATTATCTCTGACATTAATATGCATGACATTAATATGCAGGGACATGAGAAAAAATAGATTTTAGGTTTTGGAAACAGTGCGTATCTTGTAACACGTTTTTTAATGTCAATTTTCGATATTTTTAAGCTTTTACTGATCTGTTTGGTCTACGTTATTTTTAAAATTTTAAATTTTATAATTAAAGATAAAAATATATTTTAAATCTATCACAAAAATTACAAGTATTGAAACTATATTTCTTGATACTATTTGAAAGTGGGTATTACTTTGTTTGTTTGGAGCCACGGGTTCTATGCAAACGACACCTTTTTTTTATTTCACCTTTTTGTTTGTTTTATCATCTTTTTTCCTCGGGATGCGTTTCCACGAGTTAATGTGGAAATGAGTCGCATCTTAAGAATTTATTTTTGAGATGGATTTTTGAAAATAAGTTTTAAGACATGTAATAAATCAGGAATGTGAATAAATAAATAAAAATTTAAAATTAAACTTAACAATTCTATTTACAAAACATTGGGATAGGCAGTTTCAATTGTTTTTAAATGACAACCTATTTGCTTTGTCCCTTGAGACCGCATATTGGAAAAATACGGACCAGCCCGCATGAAACGTTTTCCAAATTAAACGTTTAACTTTTAAAAACTCATGACGGGGAGTGGGTTTGTCTTTTTACTCTTTTGGGGCTTTGTGCCTGGGTCAGCGTCGCTCTGCACCTCAGTCAGTATCATGGAAAAGCTGAAAACCCTAGATTTTCTCTCTCTAGATTAGATACCCGAAATTTCTGCACCTCAGTCAGTACCATGGAAAAGCTGAAAACCCTAGATTTTCTCTCTCTAGATTAGATACCTGAAATTTCTCTCTCTAAATATCTGAAAACCCTAAACTTTCTCTCTCTAAACTACATAGCTGAAATCTCTCTCTAAATCTAATAATATTTCTCTTTCTGAAATCTTGTTAAATTGTGGGGAAGATGCTCTCGAACAGTTTGGGTGACGTCCGTCCGGCGTTTGTGAGAGTTGTTTTGGAGAGAGAGAGAGAGCGTTTAAGCTCTCATACTCATATTGCAAGCAGGGGAGAGATAGAGGACTTGTTTCTAACCACCAAATGGTATCTAGCTGATTTAAAAAATGCGGGTTGAAATCGGTGGGTGACCCCTGTTGATTATGCAATATCTGGGTCTAACCGGTGCTTTGCTACAATAAAACAAACATTATAAATGCCGTTTTGTTGCAGTAAAATTATCGATTCATCGATTCGGATTGATTTTTGGTTGATTTACATATATTTTTTTTTTGCTTTTTCACTATTTTTTTTGCACAATACAACGATGATATGGACCGTGATTCACCGATCTATACCAATTTTTTCAATGCCCGATTCGGGGTTCGATTCGCTTTTTAAATCATTGGTATTTAAAAAGAAAAGTAGAAAATTACTGTGCAATTCATCATTATCATCATTCATTTTTTTTTTAATTATTTGGGATTAGTTATATGAATTCTAATCTTATTAAAGACATATTTAAAAGAGTAATTAGGAAGGAAGTATCTTTCTTTTGTTACGCTTTAAATGTGGATGCATGCTCTTTCGAAAAAAAAAAATAAAAAAAATAAATAAATAGAGTGCATGTGCATGAATGGCTTATTGGGAAATTTTGCATGTCATAAAAGGTCCATTTGACAATGCCTTAAATGCATGTATTTGGTCCATTTACGCATTTCCAAATGCTCGTGTGTCCTCGTGGCACTCATTCAATGCGCTGGTATGCCCCACCCTAAATGACTAGGGTTTGGGCCGGGGTACTACAGAATGAGGCTAGCCGGGACCTGGGGTTATGCGAGCCCAATCTGGCCTGGCCCAATCTTTTATTTTTATTTTTATTTTTTTTATTTTCATTGTATTTGATTGGCCCAATTTGGACTGGCCCAATCTAAAAAAGGAAAGAATTCAAGGAAGAAATAAAAATGCATAATATCTTAGTTGTATCATAGATCGATCCAACTTAATGAATGGAGAAATCTTGATTAGTTTTTAAATTCGGATTGCTGGGGTGGATCGTTCATCCATAGATCTGTGTTATATCGTTAGATTGGTTATTTGGATATGTCCGAATCAACCACCCATACAAATATTAAAAATAAATAAAATAAAAAACTTTAAAATAGGAGTTTATGGGTGGGGGATTTAGGTGGATCTAATAAATTATCAGATAAATTTAAAAATGTATATATAAAAAGTGGGTTTTTGGAGGGAATCAAGCTGGATCCATACCAATTTTGCATCTAGATCTGATTTGCTTTGGTCCTGACCAATTTTGCATCTAGATTGGCAATCTTGATTAGAAATTGCCAGGTTCAGAAATATTGGTTCTAACGATTTAGGGCAACAGTTTGGTTTTTATCTTAAGCTTATAATCTTTTGGCAAAAAATATTATGGTCGAATTGCATGAAACCTATATACTATTCCATCACCATATCTAGCTACCAAGTGCCATCTAAATTTTGTATGGCACATGGCTTACCCCAAAATACGGAGATTGTATAAGGTAGATGGCACCCTACGCTACTAAACAAGAGAGTAGTATCCGAAAATAATTTTATGGATATTAAAGGAGTAATGATCTTATAGGACCCTCTCTTATTTATGTGGGTTGGATTTTAAAATATCATTAAAGTCCGCACGATTTTTTAAAAAAATTATTTTATGGATGTGTGATATGATTTTTTTTATAGATTTTTATCAAATTTAATGGTTATTCTTTAAAATCCTGTACACATGGGTGAGTGAGGGTTTTAATATCATTTTTCATCTTAAAAATAGTACTGGAAAAATTTAGTGGATCTTGAGAAAAGCTGGCAGGTCTTTAGCTTACGATCAACTCTTACTTTTGGTCTTTTTCTTTCTAGAATTATTGGGAGACCTTGTTTGAAAATTCTAGTTATTTTATATAAAAAGAATTATGTCCACTCGACAACTGCCCTTAAAACTAGCCATTATTTTATTTTATAATATAATCTTTTTAAAAAAGTTTGTAAGTAAATTTTTTTAAGTTATTTTTTATTTTAATGTTTAAAATTTGAAAAGTAATTTCCTCACCAGTCCTCAATTAGACTACATCTTTCGTCTTGCAAAAGGTTTTAAAAATCCCCGATTCGAATTGGATTTGCGAGTCATTGAGGGGAGTCCCTACCAAAATCAATGATCAATCCTATTCTCTGAAGTACATGGGTTGTAGAGGGGCCCCTACATCTACACCGTTCATAGGGGGACGGAGCGATCTACATTAGCTGGACGAAGTTAAATGGACGAAGTTAAATGGTTTGCAGTGTTGTTTGCATAAACAATTAACCTTCTCTAAAGTGCATTTTCCCCTTTCTATAATATGTTTGCTCGACGATTTAAGTCATTGTATGAACACGGGGAAGATGCTTTCAATGGGGTTTTTTGGTTCTCCCACATTTTCTATTTTTTAAAATTTCTGGCTGCATAACTGATCCGAATTGTGGATTTAGGGGTTGCAATGGACCTCGACCCAACTCGGGACCCGACCTAGGTTTGGGTCCAAGAATTGGACCCTGTGGTTTAGGTCCGGGTCCAAATATTATCCCTGAACACTATTTTGTTTTGGTTATGCATCCAAGTGGACGATTCCAGGACCTGAATAGTGTTATTATACCAATAATATTTAAATAAATATAATTATATATTTTTAGTAATAATATTTAAATAATACATATATATTTAACATAACATTTAAATATATTTATTTTTAAATTTTCGTTTTGTTCCGGTTCCGGGTCCAGATCCGGGTCCAAGTCCGGGTCTGGTTGGACACGGACCTGACCCAATCCTTTACCCCCCCTAGATTTAACCAATCTAGAGCTGCACTGTAGAAGGTCGAACTACCGGTCTATGTTTTAAATCATTGTTGTTACCTTGATGCGTTATGAGGCATAATGGCGATAAACCAAACATTGGGCCGTTAGTTATTTCAGAGAAGACCGGTCTTAATGATTCTGAAACTTAACAAGTTGTCCTTAGTTTACATTTTATTAGATTATTCATCTCCTATCCTTTTATACCTATAATTTTCACTATGAATTATTTCTCTAATCTCTATATCTGATTCCTTCTTGTATTTTCATGGTTACAGCATAATAATAAGGCCTCTCTCAGGGAAACCATGTGAAATTTCAACAACATTCAATTGAGAGACAAAGAAACCCAGTGGAAGAAAGAAACAGAGAACACCTTTGGAAGACTTGATAAGGTCTTTGATGTTCTACTCAAGGGAGAGAAATGAAAAGAGACTGAAAAATTCAGATGATTCATAGAACTTGCAATACTACATAGGCACACATTTATTAGTCATGTCTTGGATCAGTTCTTCATCTTGTTCCAGTCCTTTTTATTCAGAGACCCCACCTTCCTCAAGCCTTTTGGCTACTCTCTACTGGTTAAGATTCATTTTTCTCTCTCCATGCCCACAATTCTCTCTAGTCTCCTCCGTAAATCTCATTTTCCTAATAACCGTTTTCGGTTTTGCTCTTAAAAGGCTCTTTTCAAGAAGAACCCGTTTGCCACCTTCCACCATTAAAGCTGAAAGCACCAATACAAAGACCAGTTTTGTATTCAAACTGAGCTTGGGTTTAACTTTCTTGCTTGGCCTTGTTTATTTGGTTTTCTCTATCTCGCTTTTTTCCTCAAAAAACATTGACAATTCATGGAAATTTAAGCAGGGAGCTCTCTGCTTGTTCCTTTCGATCTCTTATCTAGTGTTTTCGATTGTTATAGCTCATGAGAAGAGGTTCAGGGCAACTGTTCATCCTCTTTTGATACGGCTTTGGTGGGGCTTGAGCTTTTTGCTGTCTATTTTGCTCTCAATCTCTGGAATCATCAGATTCAGCAGCAAAAACCTGGACCATAGTCCTGAACTATGGCTTGGAGATATATTGACTTTCATATCTCTCCTAGTTAATGCTTTTCTCTTTCTGGTAGCCATCAAAGGCTCCACAGGCATAATCCTAATCACCTTAAATGAAAAATCAGAAGAAGAAAAACTAAGAGAACCTCTTTTATCGGAGGCTCATTGTAGGGGCACTCAGGCCATTCAAACTACTCCTTATCACACAGCAGGGTTTCTTTCTAGAGCTACATGGACATGGATGAATGATTTGATAAGGAAGGGCTATAAATCTCCATTAAAGCTTGAAGATGTACCAGCACTAGCTCCAGCTGATAAGGCAGAGGCCATGTGTGAGCGATTTGTATTGAATTGGCCAGGAACTGAATCAAAACACCCAGTTAGGACTACTTTACTCAAATGCTTCTGGCCCAACCTCTCTTTCACTGCTGTGTTAGCCATATTGCGCCTTTGCGTAATGTATGTTGGCCCTGTTCTCATCCAAAGTTTCGTGGATTTCACTTCGGGGAAGAGAAGCTCTCTCTATGAAGGCTATATATTGGTTTTGATCTTGTTGGTTGCTAAATCTGTTGAGGTTATTTGTTCTCATCAGTATAATTTCCAGTGCCAAAAGCTGGGAATGCTTATACGGTCCACTCTCATAACCTCTCTTTATCAGAAAGGCCTACGCCTCTCTTGCTCTGCTCGCCAAGACCATGGAATAGGCCAGATTGTGAATTACATGGCTGTTGATGCTCAACAACTCTCTGATATGATGCTTCAGCTCCATTACATATGGCTGATGCCTCTTCAAATAGGGGCCGCACTGGCACTCCTTTATGCATTCTTGGGGCCAGCTGTTGGAGTTGGTTTTCTTGGCGTGGTGGTGGTCATGGTGTTTATTCTGATGGGGACCAAGAGAAACAACAGGTATCTGATGATTTTTTTTCCTTTGGTCATTTTTTAAAATGCTTTTGTCTCCATGTATTGCTTTGATTGATCTTTTTATTGCATTAGTTTTGGATCGGTGTAAAACTTTTTTGGGAAGTTTGGGGGCTGGAGATTATGGGTGTTGTGCTGAAGTAAGGTAGAAATTTGTTTTCTTTTTTGTTTTTTCCTTTTTTGGATGAAGAGAACATAGCTGAAATTTTAGGGTTTTGCCAAAATTTTGAGTCAGATTTCAAAAAATAAAATGATTTCCATTTGAATTTCTCAGAAAACTAATAGTGCTTTATAGCAACTATTATTTACTACTTCACTCTGTAATTGGGGTTGCAGCAACTAAATTCAGCCAAGTTGCACCATAGCTCTAAACCAGAGCTCAAGTTATTGGTCATAGGGTGGTCATTCTTTATAATATGTTGCTTACTTCCCCTTTTTTTTACTTTTTTTACTCTTAATAAGTTCATATTCTTTTGAACGACTTACTCAACTGTTTCCGAACCATGCGTATACCCACGCAAAACACAAGTACAGGTACCAGTTCAGTGTGATGAAGATGAAGGACCTCAGGTTAAAGGCAGTGAATGAGATGCTTAATTACATGAGGGTGATCAAGTTTCAAGCATGGGAGAACCATTTCTCCAAGAGGATAAATGATTTGAGAGATTCTGAATTCTCTTGGGTCAGCAAGTTCTTCTACTCAATTTCTGGCAATGTTGTGGTGCTTTGGGCCACCCCATCTCTGATTTCAGCCTTGACATTCTGGGCATGCATTCTTTTTGGTGTAGAACTCACCCCTGGAAGAGTTTTCACTGCAACTTCTTTCTTCAAGATATTGCAAGATCCTATAAGGAACTTTCCACAAGCCTTAATATCACTTTCTCAAGCCATGGTTTCTTTGGAAAGGCTGGATAAGTATATGATAAGTAAGGAACTAGAGAGAGATGGGGTTGAGAGAGTGGCTTATGGTGAAGAGATAGCTGTTGAAGTGAAGGATGGAGAGTTTTCATGGGATGATGGAGTGAAGGAGGGGGTGATTAAGGGGATAAATATGGAGATTAAGAGGGGTTGTTTAGCTGCTATTGTGGGGACTGTTGGGTCTGGGAAGACCTCCTTGTTGTCTTGCATTTTAGGAGAGACACCAAAGCTTTCTGGGAAGGTAAGTTTCTCTTTCTTGTTTTTCTTTTGTGGTTTTTGTTTTATATGGGGCTGGATCATCAAACATTCGTTTGGATGATTTAGGAATCTGCCATGGCATTACCATAATTTTGACTAAAAACTAAAACCTAGGTTTTATTTTTTTCTCTCTTGTGAATATTCAAGCTTGGTTTTATGCTAGTTTATGCTGTTCATAGTGCTGAAAATTGGAAAAGGAAGAAGCCACGAAAGGAAAATGAAAATTATTAAAATGCTTTAGTAAATTGATATAATCACCATGAAATGGTTGATCACATGTTAGAGAGGCCATAAGATACATGATAACTAGTGTATGTTTGTGTAATTTTCTGGAATCAGGGTTGATATGTATTTTAAAGGGTACTTATTTTGGGTAGGTAAGAGTGAGTGGTAGCACTGCATATGTGGCCCAAACTGCATGGATACAAAATGGTACCATCCAAGACAACATACTATTTGGTTTGCCCAAGGATACTGAGAGGTACAAGGAGGTGTTAAGGGTTTGTTGCTTAGAGAAAGACTTGGAGAGCATGGAATTTGGAGACCAAACAGAGATTGGTGAGCGTGGGATAAACCTCAGTGGAGGCCAAAAGCAGAGAATTCAGCTTGCCAGAGCTGTCTACCATGATTCTGATATCTACCTCCTTGATGACATCTTCAGTGCAGTTGATGCCCACACCGGTTCTGAGATCTTCAAGGTCCGTATCCGTATATTTTATTCATTGATGTCTTTGCATAGCGTTTTGAAACCTTTCTGTTTGCTGCATATTTTATACCTTTACCAATGCTTTTTCCAATATCCAAAATTACATCTTCCAAGTTCCGAGAAAGATGGCGTAGATCAAGTAGATCTATAAACACTTAAAAACCATGAAAATTGGCAGTCCAAATTATGTGTTACAAGATGCACTATTTTTGGACTTGAAATCTTCTTTTTTTTCAAATCCATACATCTGGAGGTCGATATGATTAGTTGGAGCATTTTCTAGCATCAAAACGACATTTTCCAATGGGTTTTAGAGGCACACCCTACTTCTATAATATAACGTTGACACCTTATATAAGCTTATGCCTTTCAAATAGCTTTCCAATCTAGACAACAAAAGACAAGTCATGGACAACCATTATGAAAATGGAATGGGACAATTAGGGCTACAAAGAAAGATTCGGGAGTTTCGAGCACCTTCATTTAACTGTTGCACATCTTTGGCTACTTCGTTAAGCTATTACTTTTTTCTCCAACATAATCTTAACCATTTTTTTGATCATTTTTTTGTAGGAATGTGTACGAGGGATTCTCAAAGAGAAGACAATCTTACTGGTCACTCATCAAGTTGACTTCCTACATGGTGCCGATCTCATTATGGTAACTATAAATTCTTCTCTTATTATCCCTCTCTAAAAAAAAATTATATGTCTATAAATTCCTCCCATGTTTAATTACTTTCAGAAAGGGAACATTTTCATTAATTATGCATGGTGCTGACCTTACATAACTCTGCCTTGTCTGGCCCCAAGCCGGTCCTGCCTGTCCCAAGCCCGGGTATAGGTGGAAGGCTATGTTAAGTAGGGCAGCCAACATAAACCTACACCAAATCTTGTCATGGATCCTGAAGCTATGAGTAGAATGGCAGAATATGATTCATGTAGCTGATCCCAAATGGTTAGGATAAGGCTTAGATGATGATGATGCATAGTGCTAACCTGATCACACTTTATCACTGTGTCCCATTAATTTTGTGCCTGCAAACGTAACCTACTGTGCAGGATAACATTACAATGGAGGAAAAAATTTGAGTAGGTTCATATCATCATTTTGTCACAAGGGAAAAATACTTTGATGCTTTTCATCATTTGTGTCATACCGGAAACTTTTACCCATTATCATCATTTTTGTCATGGGCATCATCACCCTCCAAACTATGTGTTGAGTGGCAATGGAAGGAAAATGGAATAAGCAAATGAATTAATGAAATGTTTGTTGGGATCGAAGCCCGTCTCCTGCAGTGTCTGACCATTTATTGGACAGTGATTAACCTTATGACCATCCTGTTATCATGGCATATAGATCATACCATACTTTTCTGACAAATTTCCACTTTGACATTCCTTACATTTGACAAACAGGTCATGCGTGATGGTAGGATCATGCAATCAGGGAAGTATGATGAGCTTCTCCAGTCCGGAACCGACTTCCAAGCCTTAGTTGCTGCCCATGACACAGCCATGGAGCTCGTAGAGTCAAGCTCATCTTCACATAATCCTCCCAACTCTCCTCACCCTTCTCCAAGAGAAACACCCTCTCCAAAGAGCCCAAACACTAAACCAAAGGTTTTGGAGAACGGGTCAGTGAATGGAGAAGCTCATGAGAATGAATCAATGAATGGAGAGACTCATGAGGAAAAGAAGTCAAATAACCGAACCGCCAAGCTCATAGAGGAAGAGCAAAGAGAGACTGGACATGTTAGCTGGAATGTGTACAAGCTTTATCTAACTGAGGCCTATGGGTGGTGGGGGCCATTGTTTTTGGTTGCCTGCCAAATTTTGTATCAATTGGCAATGATGGGTGGTGACTACTGGCTTGCATTTGAGACATCAGGGACTGGTTCAAGTTCATTCAATGCCAAAATTTTTATTGGGGTGTACATTGGGCTTGCTATGGTTGCATTTGTGTTCATGGCGCTTAGGATTTTTGGTTTAGCTGCCATATTTCTCAAGACTGCACAGATCTTCTTCAACCAGATACTCAATAGCATACTGCATGCCCCTATGTCCTTCTTTGACACAACCCCATCAGGCCGGATCCTTAGCCGGGTAAGAACGGTTTTTGTATGTTTCAAAACCACTACAACTAAATCCCCCCCTCCCCCTTCTACCCACAAAAAAAAGTTATAAATTATAAATTATGAAAGTGACATTGATTTAAAGGATCAAAACATAATTATCAACAAGGTTTAAAAAAAACGGATCGGTGACCCAAATTAGCCAATAAAAAACTGTGTTAGTTCGGTGGATCGGTGATATGTATCGGAGAATTGGCCGGATCGGTGGGAAGTTTTGAAAAAATCACTAAAACTTCTTAAAAATCTAGTTTCTTATGTTTTCAAAGAAATTTTGGGTTGTAGATTTTTACTATTTTATTTAAAATAAATAAATACTGAGAACTTGTTTCATACCTGAGGATTTGTTAACCACTAAATCCATTTCATAGTCAAAATGCAATCTAAAATGCAATTCATTACAATAAATATGGATCTCTCTAACTCAAAATGGAGGATCTTGCCTCCTCATTTCTTATTTTTTTCCTTTTCTAAAAATTAATTTATTTGATTACTTATTTGTTTCCATTTGTTTTTTTATTGCAATGAAGTTACATAGATCTAAGGATCAAAGTACTTTTTTCTTATATTTTCCATATTTTTTTTGTGGGACTTCCTCCTTTGCTATATTGCTTTGTCAATTATTTCTAAATTTTATTTTTCTTCATTTTAACTTGATATTTTCTTATTCTAGAGTATATTGGTAACTTTCCTCTTGTTTTTATTTTTCTAAATCTGTGTTTTTGATTTTCCATCACCACTGCAAGCTTCATATTGGGCTCAATTTTGTTTTGGTATGCTTTGATTCCAATGGTTTGAGTGAATGTGGTCGCTCGATTATCTTATTAGGCTCAATTTCATTAATAGACATGGCTTGAGTGGCTTGATTTTCTTATTAAGCGCAATTTCATTTACTTGAAATCAACATTTGTTGAGTGAACGTGAGCACACACCTATAGATTAGGGGTAGGAAAAGACAATTGTAAATGTGGCTCCCACAAAGAAAAAAGTGGGGCTGCCTTGCCTAAAAGTTAGAAGTGGTCTCTCACTTTGACGAGTAAAATGTGGGCCCCTTTATTAATTTTATGAAAGAATTAAAAACGTTGTATTAGAAGGGCGTGGGCCTCAGCCTCATGTCGGCTCTTAAAATACAAAATAAAAATTCAAATTTTAAACTGAATCTGTCAGAGAATCGGTACGGACTGGCTCGAACCAGCTGGTTCTAAGGGGGCTTGGGCAGATCCCAATATATTATGGAATCTGGAATGGGTAGGGCAATTTTCGATCCGGATCAGGCGATTCAGATCGATGGTTTTTACAAACTTTGGTACATGAAAGTATGATATATTATTTAAAAGGCATGGAGAATATATCATACTTTCATGTACCATCATGAGCTGCATATGGTGTGGTGTCCATAAGAAAATTTAAGAAAATTATTAAAAAATTCCCTCCACCTTTTTTTTGCATTCATACATTTTTAAAATTTTTTCCCAAAATGCCCCCACTTTAAACCTTCGAGGTTCGAAGTGGTAACAACTTCAGGCCAGAGTCTAAAAGAATTTTTTTTTTACTGTGACATCGGTTTGGACCTGAAGATCTAAAGTTAACTTGAGAGTTGACTTTTGACCTTCAAGTCTATGGTGAGGTCCAACTTCTTTGAACCTTCATAGTCCAAAGTAATTGGACTTCAGTCCTTGAAGCTCCGAAGTGAATGGAAGTCCGAAGTGCTCTCTGGAGTTGCAGAACTTCTGACCTTCAAGGTTCGAAATTAAAATACAAGAAGTTTGAAATTAAAATACAAGAAATTTTGGGAAAAAATAAAAAAAAGGTCATAAAAGTATAAAAAAATTGAGGGGAATTTTATAATAACAGATATTTAGGGGATATGAGCGTAAATTTCTAGAAAATTTTGTTTACTGATTTTATTAGACAAACATAATTATATCCCTACGTTTTATATGAAATCATAATAAAGCATGGTTTGACAAATAGGCTGAGAAAGTTTTAGATTTTTGAATTTTTTGGTACGATGAAGTCCTTATTCTTTGAATAATTTTGTCATTAACTTGAAAGAGCAGGAATTGAGATAAAAAGACAAAGATCACAGAATTTGAAAGACAAAGATCACAAAATTTGAACTAGCAAATTTCAATTGAATTTTGGCAATAAGTTTGAAAAGAACTACTGCTATCTGTAGAAGGATAAGAAAGCATGTTTGACTTCCATGGAATTGACTTACATTTGATTATGCCCTCATTTTATAAGGATCTTGATTGGACCCTGATTTTTATCCTTACTATAATTGTTGCTGTCTTTGTTTTCTTTGTTCTGTAGGCTTCTACTGATCAAACAAATGTGGACCTCTTTCTACCATTCTTCTTTGGGATGGCGCTTAGTACATTGTTGGGAGTTTTGAGCATCATAGTAGTTACATGCCAGGTCGCATGGCCAACGATTTTTGTCATACTTCCATTAGCTTGGTTAAACATCTGGTGCAGGGTAAGAACTAAAATCTAAACCACTATCGTTTCCTCTGTCCTTTCGAATTTTGCAATTCCTTGAATTCATGATTTTTAGTGAAGCGAATTTAGGATTCTGAAAACTTTGGGTGTCTGCTTCAAGAGATAGAAAACCATTAATTTTTAATTTAAAAAATACAAAAATAATAATTGGTTCGATACATTGTCGAGTAAACGGAGTTTTGCTCTTGGTCTTTTTTTTTATTATTTCTTTCTTGGGAAATAGAAATGGCGTTGACCAGCCCTAGGCCTATACTAGTACCATTATTACAGTGTTATAAGAATGAGACCGGTTGCCGAAATCGATTATTGTTCGATCTGTGGTTCAATTAGGGATTCCACCGGTCAAACCATTTGAACCAACGAAAAACTGATAAAAACATAAAATATATCGAAAATTTTCATAAATTATGTTAAAAATCCGATTTCTCTGAAGATTCAGTTGCTTATTGAATCGAACCATTTTGGAGTTTGATTCATGGTCTAACCTGTTGGACAAGCCCCTTCAGTATGATTCTGATAATACTAATCTTCTAGAATACGTTGGCAGTGCCATAGTGGTAAATTTTGTGATATTTTCTTGTGATATTTTCATGGCTTGGTTTCTAGGGAGAGTTTTAGAAAATGTGAAAATCTAGGTGGAAGATAAGATGGAAAACTTAAAAAACGAAAATTTTTAGAAGTAAATATCAAACAAAAGATAAACTAATATTACCCACTATGTTTTCTTCCTAATTTAGTTCTACTTATTTTTTATAAATTGGTAATTTTTAGGAATTTTAACTTTGCATAAACTTCTGACTTATGTTTCTCTTTAAACATTTGTATGTTTAAGCATAATTTATGTTTTTGAATATTTGAAGGAATCATGGGAAAAATTTGGTAAAGGGGGCCAATATACAAAATCTTGGATCATTAATTGTTCATAGTTTTTTACTTCTCTCATTTATTTGGTGTATGAAAATTATTTTCAGGGCTATTATCTAGCCACCTCACGAGAGCTTACTCGGCTTGACTCCATAACGAAGGCGCCAGTCATTCACCACTTTTCTGAGAGTGTGGCTGGGTTTGTGACAATCCGATGCTTTAAGAAGGAAGCTGAATTTGTGCGCATTAATTATGATCGTGTTAATGCTAACTTACGTATGGATTTTCACAACAATGCGTCGAATGAATGGCTCGGATCACGCCTTGAGATGATCGGAAGCTTCATCTTCTGCTTCTCTGCACTCGTCATGGTCTTGCTTCCTTCCAATGTTATCAAACCAGGTACAAGTACATGCATTATTTATGCTTAAGTTTATTTGGAAATTCATATTTTTCATTTTAATGTAATGGGTTAAGAGAACACCTTGCATGCGCGTGCGCAGAGAGAGAGAGAGAGAGAGAGAGAGAGAGAGAGAGAGAGAGAGAACTCTGTTTAGTTTTTCATTGTATCTGAGCTTTCCTTGTTTCCTGGCCGGATCATGCAGAGTATGTGGGGCTCTCTCTGTCATATGGTCTCTCTCTAAATACTGCACTATTCTGGACAATATGGGTGAGCTGCTTTCTCGAGAACAGAATGGTATCAGTGGAGAGGATAAAGCAATACAGCAACATAGAGTCTGAGGCACCCTGGAAAATAAAGGACTCTCTTCCATCACCGCAATGGCCCATACATGGAAATATGGATATCATAGACTTGCAGGTACCCCTAAAAATCACTCACTTTTCCAAATATTAGAATCATTACTTAACTGATACTACTTTAAGTTCCCTCATCAGTAAAATTAAGTAAAAGAAGTACCCATTGAATGAGTACCTATGTTCAATATCTTAAACATAGGGCAAAAATTAATTACCGTTTCTGTTGTTATAACTACCATATGTATGCGAAGAAGCCAGCATTATGTTGGTAAGAAATTCGCTAAAATAATCCAACTTTATGGTTTTGTGACTTCTATGTACATCTTAGGTTCGGTATCGGCCAAGCACACCATTGGTTTTGAAAGGTATCAGTCTTAGTATCAATGGAGGAGAGAAGATTGGTGTGGTTGGGCGGACTGGGAGTGGGAAATCCACATTGATCCAGGTGTTATTTAGGATTGTGGAGCCATCAGGAGGTAAGATTGTAGTCGACAATGTTGATATAAGCACACTGGGCCTCCATGATCTTCGCACTCAATTCGGAATCATACCTCAAGAGCCAGTCCTGTTCGAGGGCACTGTGAGAAGCAACATCGACCCCATAGGGTGTTATACTGATGAGGAAATTTGGAAGGTATGGATTCTTTGTTGTGTGTGTGTGTGTATCTGTGTGTGCGTGTGCCTTTGAATGTGCCTGTGCCTGTGCATGTGCGTTTGTTTTGTGTGTTGTGTGTGCGTGTGTCCGTCCTTATCTTGCAAATGCAAATTCTAATTTGCGTTGCTTTGCTTTTCAGAGCTTGGAGAGATGCCAACTGAAAGAGGTCGTTGCTGCAAAACCCGATAAACTTGACACTTCTGGTAATCTTGAAATCTGAATCTGCCAAATAAATTATTCATTTGATTCTTTCTCAATGATAAAAAGTTTTGCCTTTATCTATAGTCAACTTTAATTAACTTCAATGAAGAGATTCTATGCAGTCTTTATTTTCCTTTTCTTCCAGGCATTTCACTTTTATCTTTAAGTACCCATTATTTCATAGGACTGGCCTCTAGGCCTGGGAGGACAGGGAGGAGGGGTGCCACATTATGACATCTAGGGTTCTCCTCCTACCAAGCTCCCAAGTTAACATGCAAATAAAAAAGAAGTGCTCATTTATTTCATGTGTACAGCATCATGTCATTCAAAGACCTGTGTTAGCCATCCTGTATTTTAATCAAAGAACATTAACCGTATAACACTGTTGGTGTATTATATACTTGACGGAATTATAGTCATCCTGTAGCCAAATATGCTGTCCCAGAATCTTCTCTTAAGCCCTTCTTTTGTTTTTCACATTATTTTACTATCATAGAGAACCATAATCCTCATAATGCACATTTTATTTTATCCTAGAACATTTCTTCATTCCAAATGTCGCATCACTTTCATATGCTTCTTTTTCTTGTTTTGGAACACTATTGGCTAATTCTGTGTTTATGGCTATGTAGTGGTTGATAGTGGTGAAAATTGGAGCGTGGGACAGAGGCAACTTCTTTGTTTAGGGCGTGTCATGCTAAAGAAAAGCCGAATTCTGTTTCTTGATGAGGCAACTGCTTCTGTCGACTCACAAACAGATGGGATCATTCAAAGAATTATTAGAGAAGATTTCGCAAAGTGTACCATCATCAGCATTGCTCATAGAATACCCACTGTCATGGACTGCAATAGGGTCTTAGTTATTGATGCGGGTAACACTCTCTCTCTCTCTCTCTCATGCTTAGTAATTTGTTTGTCCCAAACATGTATTACCAAATATGGGTATGCCTGTCTATGCTCGTATTCATGACTAATGTTTATATTCTTTGTTGGTCTTGTGTAGGTTTGGCCAAGGAATTTGATAAGCCATCTCACCTGTTAGAACGACGCTCGCTATTTGCAGCACTGGTTCAAGAGTATGCAAACCGTTCATCCAATCTATAGACAGTTCGTATTACCATATGGTATTGGTTATGGTGCAAGTTGGTTCAACCTCTTTCCAACCTCAAGTTTTGACATGAATTTCAATGAAATCGGTTGACAGTTATAAAAACCAGATATTGATTTTAGTTATAGAAACTAGATATTGAGTTTTCTTTCTTGTATATTAAAAGATATTACAAAAAAAGAATTGTAACTATGCAAATATCTGGTAAACCAGAGAGAGTAATCTCTATGAATGAGATACTGGTTTACCCTCTGTGGACTTAGGTACTATTGCCGAAGCTTATAGTATGTGCCTTGTTGATTATTCTTCTCTCTCTTTCGTCTGTATTTCTTTTATTGCAAATTTTATATGGTATCAGAACAGATGTCTTTAGAGATGTATGTAAATATCTTGTAAATCAGAGTAATCCCTATGCTCATAGTATGTGTCTTGTTGATTCTTCTTCTCTCTTTCGTGTTTATTTTTTTTATTGCAAATTCTATATGGTATCAGAGCAGACGTCTTTAGAGATACTATGTAAATATCTGGTAAACCAGAGTAATCCCTATAAATGAGATACTGGGTTACCCTTTGTGGACTGAGGCACTATTGCCGAAGCTAATAGTATGTGTCTTGTTGATTCTTCTTCCCTCTCTTTCGTCTTTATTTCTTTTATTTCAAATTCTATATGATATCAGAGCAGACGTCTTTAGAGATATATTGAAATCACTACCGTCTCCCTTTTTTTATGTGATGATCTTGGATCTTTCTCTTTATCTCTTTCCGATGTGACTCTATTATTTCCAACAAGAAAACCTCACGGAAATAGCCTGCAAAATTGGTTTGCACCTTGAGGACATTGATTTGATGCCGACTTTTGGAATGCACAAGGTTTTGGAAATTGCGTTCTTCTTCAAGTAATGCAAAATATTACTTTTGGAAATCACGAGGTTTTTGCAAACATCCACTTCTTCACGTAATGCAAAAGATTTACATACCGGTTTCTTTTGGAATTCCAAAGTTTTCATCTTGTGCACCTTCAACTTGAGCTTGTTGTTGATGTAGACTTGCCTCTGGTAGGTCATTAGTTGCATCTTTCCACCTTCAAGTTAACAGAATTTTTTTTGGGATGCAAGTTCACCTATTTCTAGAGAAAGAAATCTTTCTTTCTCATTGGGATTTTCAGTTGGTTCTAATTGGGTCATTTTCTATTCTTTAGTCATCCTTGCTATTGAGCAAGCTCTTGTTATCTTTTTATAATGATAGATTCGAAAAATTACTCCAGCATAAAATTTACTATCGGTCATTTGAATAGATTTAATTATTTATTTAGTCGAAAGTTGTTTCTCGTTCTCTTTTTGTAAAATCTAAATTTGGACAGATAACTAGGAAAATTATAATTCTTGATATCAAAACCTCCAAAAAAAATGTTTAGAAATGTTTTTTAGTTGTTAATAATGAGAAATATGAAACAAAAATGCCTTAAAATAATAATAAGCGGACAACAGATAGATCTACCACTCAAACTGCAACTACTCAAACCTATCATTGCAACTGTGATCATTATCAGTAATCAAGTAACAACAGTGTTTCTTCCGCCATAAAAACCCCTTTTTCTTTATTCTCGGACACATGTAACCCTTATACTTTAATGTCTTTTTTGTAGAAATGAAAAGCAATCCACGAAAATAAGAAAAAAGAAACAAATACAAAAGAAAGAGACAACCAACCACAACGCAAAGATATATATAGGAGATGAGGGCTTTTTTATTGACAATGGAGAATAGGGTTACAATCGCTCTCTTTCTCACACCTCTTTGTTCTCTCTAATTACCAAGATATCTGAGTTTTTCTCTTAACCCTGGATGAATTCTCAATCGCAACAATATATATCGAGTTCCAAATAGATGGTACAAAGTACGAAAATACCCTTATACGGATATATATCAAGTCCCACATATATCGAATCCCATGTAAGCCCTTCGGGCCTTCGGCCCTCCCGGCTTTTAACGGTCCTCTAGAGTTGTCCTTTTGACTCCACATTGACAGATCTATTTCCTAAGAATACAAGACATCAATCTTCAACATTCATGTAACACCTTTCCTTAGATAATAGACTCAAGGGGCACATATCATATGACTGGTAACTTGTAGTGTTTATCTAACCTAAAAAAAACGAAAATATGAACCCTATGTCTATTGTTAATAGTTCCTTAATTCATGTCCATGGTGTTGGTAATGCCAATTTTTTCTCCAAGTCACAAAACTCTGAAATTATTTTCATGCCATCATGTTCCTCGAACTTGATGTTTGTTAGTAAAATTACTCAGATCATGAATTGCAATGTTTTTTTTTTCTCCCAACTTTGTGACTTTCCAAGACCAGGCCATGAGGAGGAGGATTGGTGAAGGAAGACAGTTTCATAGGCAATAATTATTCAATAAAAAAAAATAAGCCTTTGATTGCCAATCAAGATAATTCCGATAATAATAAATTGTGGCTTTAAAATTTTTGATGTCCTCTCTATTTTTAAACTCTCATTCTTGTGAAGTCTGTAAATTCTCAAAGCAGACAAGACTTCCTTTTCAATCTTTTATACATGTTTCAAAAGAACTATTTTATTTGATATATTCTGATGTGTGGGACCAACCCTAGTTGATTCTTATGTTGGCTTTAAATATTTTGTTACTTTCATTGATGATTAGTACCGTGTTACTTGGGGATATTTATTGAAATAAAAAACAAATTTTTTTCATGTGTTCAAAGAATTTTCCAAACTGATTTCCACTCAATACAATGTCAAATTAGAATTATGTTGACTAATAATGGCACAGATTATGTGAACAAACATTTTTCTGAGCATCTATTAAATCTTGGTATTATACATCAACAGTGTGTGCTGGAACACCTCAGTATAATGGAGTTGCTGAAAGGAAAAATACACATCTTTTGGAAACTACAAGGTCTTTTATGTTTCAGATGTATGTTCCAAAAATTTATTGGTTTGAAGCTGTTTTAACTGCTTGCTATTTGATTAACAAACTTCCAAGTAAAATTCTTAAGAATCAATCTTCCCTTGAAATTTTGAAAAATAGAAAAATTAATTTGACTCAATTGCGAGTATTTGGATGTATGTCTTATGTTCATGTGGATGGGCACAACCGGGATAAACTTGATAAACGTTCAAGTAGATGTATTATTCTTGAATACTCCTCTACTCAAAAGGAATACAAATGTTATGACCACATAATAAAAAAAAAGCATATTTCTAGAGATGTTCAATTTGTTGAAACCTAAATATATTTCCATCACACATTGGAGAGTGGTTTGGAAAATATGACATATGGGGAGTATTCAAGAGGTCGTTTACCCTTGCCTAATATTAATACCAGTGGTGTGTTTAACATACCCGGAACAAGTCATGATAATCAAAACGAAGTTGAAGATACATCTGAAACTCACCAAACTGATTTAGAAGAAGAATACTACGCTATGATCATGGCCCCACCTTATCCCCTTACGCAGGTCTTCTCACATCTCTCAACTATCCTCTAGACTTTAAGATTTTTATACTTACCATGTAGTTGTTTATCCTGTTCAAAATTATATTTTCTATGAAAATATATCTCCTGCTATTTTGTCTTTTTTAGTTTATTTCTAATAATTACGAATTTCAAAATGCTATTTCTCAACATGTGTGGAGGAAGACCATATAGGTTCAACTTCAAGCACTTGACAAGAATTATACTTGGGACATTGTTAAGCTACTTAAACGAATGAAAGCAATTGGATGTAGATGAGTTTATAAAATCAAATATAATAGTGATTGGTCTGTTGAAAAATATAAGCACAGGTTGGAGGCCAAATGATTTACCAAAACTTATGGAGTCTACTATAAAAAGACTTTTGCACCAGTTGCTAATATGAATATTGTTCGTTTTTTTTTATCTATCGTAGTTAATTGTGGGTGGTCTCTGCATCAAATAGATATTAAAAATGGCTTCTTATATGGTGACCTTGAAGAAGAAGTTTATATGAATCTTCCTCTAGGCCATTCTAAAGAAAATGAGAAAGGTCTTGTATGTAAATTAAATAGGGCTTTATAGAGATTTAAATATTCGTCTCGCGCATGGTATGCCAACCCCAGTGATGAAAATCAGGTTTCTTAGAAGTTCAGATGATTTTTCGATATTCACAAAAATGTGAACTTCAGGTAAAACAAATTGTACTCATTTACGTTGACAATATTATCATTATAGGTAATGATAATGAAAACATCATGAAGCTTGAAAATTATCTTCAGAAGAAATTTGAAATCAATGATCATGGTAAACTAAAGTATTTTCTCGGCATTGAAGCAGTACATTAAAAAAAAAAAAAACTCTTCATTTCTCAAAGGAAATATGTATTAGATCTGTTGAAAGAAAAACTAGGAAACTGAGAGTCAAACCTATTGACATTCATGTTGATATTAATTACAAGTTTAATTCAACAAAAGGAAAATCTCTTGAAGATGTTGGCCACTTTCAGAGTCTAGAGGGCAGATTGATTTTTTTTTACTACGACATGACCAGATATAATGTATGTAGTTAGTCTTGTGAGCCAATTTATGCATGCTCCTAGGTCATGTCATATAGAGGCTGTCGATAGGATTATCAAATATCTTAAGTCATCACCTGGCAGCGGTGTTTAGTTGAAACCGAATGATCACACTAATATTAGTGGTTATTCTGATGCTGACTGGGCAAGTAGTCCAATTGATAAGAGGTCCACTACCGGCTATTATACATTGGTCGGATGAAACTTAGTTACTTGAAAAAGCAAGAAACAAAATGTAGTTGTTCAATCTAGTGCAGGGGCCGAATATAGAGCTATGGCTTCAACTACAAGTTAATTGATGTGGCTAAAATACCTATTTCGAGATATGAGATTCCCAGTGGTCAATCCAATAGATATGTTATGTGATAATCAAGCAGCTATGCATATAGCCTCTAATCCAGTTTTTCCTGAAAGAACCAAGTACATAGAAGTTGATTGTCACTTTGCTAGAGAAAATATTCAGTAAAACATTATTAGTACTCCTTATGTTCGAAGTGAATACTAACTTGCATACATGTTAACTAAAGTTATTGCAAAGACCAAGTTCTATCAGATAGTGCCACACACCAACTTGAGAGGGAGCATTGACGGTTATAGAAACCAGATATTGAGTTTCTATCTTGTATAGTACAAGATAGTAAGTTTCTATATTGCGTTTCCTATTTTGTGGGATTACAATTGGAGTGAGAATTATTTCTTAAAAGTAAAGAATTATAACTTTATAAATCTCTGGTAAACCAAAGTAATCTCTATGAATGAGATATTAGTTTACCCTCTGTAGACGTAGCTATCGTTGCCGAACTACATATATGTCTTGTTGATTCTTCTTCTCTCTCTCCTTCGTCTCTATTTCTGTTACT